CATCCATCCATCCATCCATCCATCCATCCATCCATCCATCCATCCATTATCTTTACCTGCTTCTTCCTTTTTGGATCGTGGGGGTCACTGGTGCCCACATCCAGCAATCACTGTGCGAGAGGCGGGGGACAGGTCTTCAGTCCATCACAGGGACACATAGAGACAAACAAGACAAACAACCATTCACTCTCTCACTCAGAGACAATTTAGAGTTACCAATCAGTCTAACATGCATGATGTTGGCGTGTGGGAGGAAACCGGAGTACCCGGAGAAAACCCATGCATGCACAGAAAATATGCAGATTTCACCCAAAAAGGTCCGCGGCCAGGATTTGACCGGGTGACCTGCTCCTTTAGAGGTGGCAGCTCTACCAACTGTGCCACCGTGCTGCCCTCTTGCAGATAATGAACACCCAAAATTCAGTGTCTCAGAAAATTAGATTTTGGAGAGGTTCAGTATTAAGAACTCCTGGCGTCACACCCAACCCAGCTGATTAACTCCTGGACATGAGCTACTAATGTCTCATTCCTCAAGTCCAGCCGCTCCTGAACCAGAGACGTCAGAAGTGTCTTACCTGGAGAAAAAGAACTGGACTGTTGCTCAGTGGTCCAATGTCGTCTTTTCAGATGAAAGTAAACTCTGCATGTCATTTGGAAATCAAGGTCCCAGAGTCTGGAGGAAGAGAGGCCCAGAATCCATGTTGTTGAAGTCCAGAGTGAAGTTTCCACAGTCGGTGATGGTTTGGGGCCATGTCCTCTGCTGGTGTTGGTCCACTGGGTTTTCTGAAGTCCACAGTCAATGCAGCATCTACCAGGACATTTTAGAGACTTCATGCTTCTTTCTGCTGACAAACTTTATGGAAATGCTGATTTAATTTTCCAGCAGGTCTTGGCTCCTGCCCACACTGAAGGTACCAAAAGCTGCCTTTGGAATATTCTAATTTTCTGAGACACTGAGTTTTTTTTTTTTGTCATTTGTAATCCATAATCGTCAAACTTAAAATAAATAAACTCTTGAAATATTTCACTTTATGTGTAATGAACCTATGTAATGAGTTGCTGAAATGATTGACAAGAAAAACTGAACTTTTTCACAATATTCTAATTTTTTGAAATGCACATGTAAACAACCCTGATTCAGGAAAAAAGTCAAGAAGTTGTGTAAAATGTAAATAAAAACAGACTTACAAACTCATTTTATTCATAACATCGCATAGTGCACACATTAAAAGTTAAACTAAACTACTATTTTTAGGAAAAAAATAAGCTCTTTTTAAATTAAATGGCAGAAACATCTCAAATAAGTTTGGACGCGAAGAACGAAAAGACGCGGAACAAATGAAAAACAGCTGTAGGAGCATTTAGCATCAAACTAAATTAATTAGCAACAGGTGTGTAAGAAAAGTGAAAAAATAAAGTGCATTGTAGAGGCTGAATGTCTCAGAAGTAAAGATGGGCAGAGGTTCACCAGTCTGAGCAACGCTTTGTTTAAAGAAGTGGTCAATTTCAGAATAATGTTCCTCAGAGAACTGAAGACTGAATATCTCGTCATCTGCGGTTCATCATATCATCAGACGATTTCAAGAATCTGAAAAAATCTCTGCATAAAACAGCAGATTTTTACCATAAACATTTATCTTTCCACAAAAGTTGTA